AATTTGTTATCTAAATCTGTTTCCTGACATCCCTTCATGCTCTGCTTTATATTGAAAAAGGGGGAGAGGGCAACCTTAAAGCAGTGGTTATCAAACTTTTTAGACTTGAAGCATCCCTTGGAAAATGTCAGTTCCTAATTTTCACTTGATTTTTGACTACAGAAAAATAATAGAGCAATTCTGTTGTGAAGAACTCAGATCCCAACAAGGCAGAATGCTTTTAACACTATGGATTCCTATTTGAAATCCCTGGGTTTATCTTGTGAATTATGTTTGCACACCTAACAGTGCTAACTAACATTGCTTGGTACCCTACAGCACCCCTGAAAAGAGCTCAGGGCAGCCCAGGGTGCTGCAACACCCTTGTTGAGAATCACTGGCCTAGTGGGAGACCCCTGGACTAGGGCTAAAGCTTTGTTCTACTCCTGACCTGTAGTAAAACTTCTGTCGGCATCTTGGTTTTACTATTTGTGAAAGAGGCCAATAGTATTTCCCTATATCACAAGTCTGTGGTGAAGTGACGCAAGACACTTCCGTAGCGAAGTGATGAGTGTTCTGGGAAACTTCTCTTCTGGGAAATTGCTGTCTGACCTCCTGGGCTTCTCATGAAGATGCTTTTATCCAGGCCGTTCTGCTTTTAATGTTAGAGTCTCCAATTGTGAGTTTGTTTTAAATGAAGTCTCCCTTGGAACTGAAATATTCTTGGTGGCCAAACTTGTGTGCAGCAGCATTTAGCTGCAATTTTGCCTGCATCTCACTAATATTATTCAGGCTATTTCAAGGAATATAGAAATGATGTTCTATGTCTTTGGATTATCTATTACTTCAAATATTTATTGACCTACTATTTCATAAAATGGTAAAAAGTGCTCTCTGCTGGCTAGATAGCCTTTTATGACCAAGTAACTAAATCCTTGGATGATGGTGTCGCTGTGGACGTAGTCTTTCTAGACTTTAAGAAGGCTGTTGACACTCTCTCACCCCATCCTCATCAATAAATTAAGCAACTGTGGCATTGATGCCTGCACAGTTGGATGGGTAAAAAATTGGGGCGCACCCAGAGAGTAGTGGTGGACGGGTTGTACTCAGCCTGGCGAGATGTGAGCAGTGGGGTACCCCAGGGCTCGGTCCTCAGGCCCTCACTGTATAACATCTTCATCAGCGACTTGGACGAGGGGGTGGAAAGCACGCTGTCCAAGTTTGCTGATGACACTAAGATGTGGGGCGAGGTGGACACACTTGAAGGGAGAGAGAGGCTGTAACTAGATTTAGACTACAAAAGTGGGCAGACGAGAATAGGATGGAGTTCAACGTAGACAAATGCAGGGTGCTGCCCCTTGGGAGAAGGCATCCACAGCATACATACAGGCCGGGGAGTTCCCTTCTTGAAAGCACAGAGGCAGAAAGGGATCTCAGAGTCATTATTGACTCCAAGATGAACATGA